TTATTTATTTTACGATTTGGTTTTGCTTATTGAATGCTCATGTCAATATGAGTCCTATAAGATATTTTGAAATGTATATCTTGTGTTGCTCAAATAGGTTATGTGCTTGCCCAAGTGGCCGGTCATGTTTGCAGGTTACACCTCCGAGTGGCCTATATTTTGCCGGAGTGTTGATTCATTTCCGTTCAGGCAAATTTCAGGCGCTCGATATGTCCTATTTTAGCAAAGGTCATGCCGGTTTTTTCCATGAATTTTGGCATGACTTGTGCCAGAATATGTAGGAAATATCGAGTGCCTCAGATTTGTGTGTTGAGTATCATGGTAGTTGCCTTCGATCGATTTTCAATTAATGTTTCAACTATGAACATAGGAAATGTCTGACGACGAAAAGGATTTCGGTATTTGCGAATACTGCAAAGACGAGCGCGACCTGTGCGACAGAATCTTCCTAGATGATGATAGGCGCTTCAGCATCAAGCTGGACGAGAACTTTGAAGGGGATACAGTAAGTCACAACGACAAGTCTTTTTTCATAATTAAGCATGGCATCTGCTTCATTTGCTTCAACTTATTTTTTTTTACTATTCTACTAGTGTATCCCCTGCCATGCAAGAGTTTTTTGTCTTGGATAAGATAGGTTTCAGTTCTATGAAAAATACTATGGAGGTAAAGAGAGTTTACTTGAAGACCGAGCATGGTTATACTTTCCACACAAAATTATACAACGTAGACACCTACACCTATTTTGAATGCAAAACTTGGCAAGCACTATGCAAGACTTATGCATTTGAGCCTGATATGGTTATCACCTTTGATATTCGTCCGGAAGATGATATTGAAGGTAATATCGACATCTGGGTCGATGTGCAGATGCCTCCAGTTATACAATTATGTGAGTTTCTCAACCATATTTATGTCTTCGATATTGTTTATTCAAAAATAGTTGACAACTAATTTCTATTGACAGCTTATTTCCGTTCAAACAAACATGTCCAGCGCTTGGTAGACAGGACCTACTACTGTCCCGGGGCTGAACTAAACTACGAGGAGATAAGTCATTATGTTTCATGGCTTGAGGATCTTCATACTATGAAGACAAATTATTTTTCTGGACTTAAAAATCTTAGTACTCAAAACGTGCGATCAATAGTGTTCGTACTAAACTGCGGTCACATCTATTTAGGAAAGATGGTAAGATTTTTACTATTTGTCCTCAGTGCATCTTTTGCATACATTATTTTTTAAGATAAACTTCATTGCTAAGTATGTTACTATACGATGTTCTTCAACGTGGACTCCCGATGAATATTGTGCCTCATTGGATCGAGACTAAAGGTTGCATGAGAATTGTTAGCTTACGGCCAAGATTTCCTACAATGCACTTTAGTGCATTCAGGATTTCTAATAGCGAGGAATGCTTAATAGTGAAAGACTGGAGCAAAATTCTGAACGATCGCAGAGAAGTACTAGGGGGGAAGCAATCAGAAGTGCAGCCCATGATTAGGAGACATGTTCATCTGCATGCTCCAACTTGATGAAGCAGGAGTGCTACACATGTTTTATGTTATTTTAGCTGAGAGAGAGCAGCAGGAGTGATTAGCTAGCTAGAAATGAGTTATGATGATTAAATAGCTAGTGTTGGTGGTAATGACTATATGATTATTATTAGCTAGTGTTGGTGGTGATTAGATAGCTATCGCAGCTAGTGTTGGTGGTGATTAGCTAGCTAGAATGAGTTTGAAGATGATGATGTGTGCTACACTATGACTATGATGATTAAATAGCTACTGTTGGTGGTAATGACCATGATGATGATTAAATAGCTTGTGTTGGCGGATTAGATTCAAGTGGAGGCAACATGTGGTGCACATCGAAAGTACTACTAGTCCAAACTAGATCAAGTTTGGATTAGTAGTATACTTTTGACATGCGCCACATGTTCCCTCCACTTAAGCCTAATCCACCTTCATTTGACACATTGTTATGGACATATTGATATAACAACCTCATAAATTGGTATTGTACCAAAATTTGTATAACGGTGTACAAATACACTAAAAATAAAATAAAAATAAGAAAAAGAATACTAGTAGCGATGGAGAGTAAACACATTACAACTAGCTATATTAGCAGTAGCGCTGGAGTGAAGAAACGTTGCTGCTATATGTCTTAGCAGCAGCGCGCGTAGCACGCGCTATAGCTAAGGAATAGCTGTAGCGCCTTATCAGTAGCGCGTCCTCTCGTGCACTGATAGGCAAAATACCTGCGCTACTGCTAGGGTTTTCCCTACTAGTGAATAAGCAGGTGGTTAATGAGACCACGGGAAATTGTTTTTGTCGGCTATCTGCTCTGAGGAGCTTGAGCAACTTATGGCGAAGAAGTCGATGCCAACAAACATGGCGCGCAGATTGCCCAGGGACGAAGCCCCGCCGCCGAGCACGTGCTCCATCAGGAGTTATTTGGCCAGGGGCTCGAATTCCCACTGCACAAGTTCGTGCGCGGACTCTTCTTTTTCTTCGGCGGCCAGCTCCACCATCTGATGCCGAATGAAGGTTTCCATGCCACGAACTTCATTATGTTCTACGAGTGTTTTCACAGGAGAGCTCCCTACTTCAATTTGTTCTGTTATTTCTTCCGGGTGCGAGTGTGGATGAATGGTGAGGCCATCTGCAATCTCGCAGGGGCAACCTGCAACTCTGGCCTACGACAAAATTCTTTTTGGTCGCCTTCTCGAAATCTATGCGAGAATGGTACTAGGTATGGTTCTATGCTTCCGGCCTCGGGACAACTTGTCAACCTTTGTCAACGAGCCTCCAAAGAAGCTAGGTTCTTGCGCTCCCCTCGACTACCTATCCAAGAGCACCTAGGAGCTCACTGAAGCTAGAGCCCCCCTGAAGGACCGCAGACTCAAGGGGGAGCACATCCTCAGGACTTGGGTGTTGCATCGTGTCCTCCCGATGGCAGCTCGGGAGACTCCAATGTATGCGTACACAGGGCGAGAGGATCCGACGCGGGTAGCCAGGAACAAGCTTGGACTGATGGAGGTCCGACACCGTTTCAACATCTTGACTGGCTGGAGCCGAGAAGGTCCCTATGGAGGTTGTCGTGGAGCCCTTCCATGTTGAGAACCCGTCGAGCGGCGTAAGTCATTCTTGATCATCTTGCTTCGGTACTGGATTTTGCTTTTGTCACCAAAGAACTAACTATGGACAAGAACACGTGTATATTTGTGATAGCACCATGACTTGGTTTCGAGATCTTGTGAGTGTTAATCCTAATCTACCCTAACTTGTTTGGGACCGGAAGGATTTGTTACTGTGTTACTATCCCTTTTGTAAATATATAGCTTGTATTGAACTCTTCTGGTATTCTCCCATCTTAATGAAAATTGGCGGAGCGCCTGCCTATTACGAAAGAAAAAAAAATGCACGTAGAAATTCACATGACATGTACTCTCTTCAGTCCAAAATAGATGACTCAATTTTATATTAACTTTGTAGTAGTTTCTGCGTTTTTTTCGTATTCTTTAATAGTACTCCAAAAGACGTTATATTCCGACAGCGAAGAAGGGCAGCAGCGCTGCACACGCAGGCACGCAGAGAAAACAAACAAACAAAGTCAGACGAAAAAGCCGATGACTGCCCGAGACGGGCTCCACCTGTCAGTGTCTGCGCGTCGGCCTGTCTCACGTGTCCCCTAGTAGCCGCTACGGCTACCCGCTCGCCCTAGTGCCCTAGCCTCGCGTCGCCCTCATTTCAAAATTCAAAACCCACCTCTCTCACTCAGACCAGACCAAGGAGAGAGAAGGCGGCCAGCAAATCCTCGAACCCTCCGCGACCTCGTCTCGGAATCCGGCGAGGAGCCCCATAGAAAAATCCTGGGCGTGGGGAGGGGGACGCAGGAACGAGGCGAGCATCCGAAGCTGCCCTGCCCTCCCTTCCCTCCCTTGTCGCGTCCACCCTCCACCTCCTCTTCCTCGTCCTCCCCTCGTTCTGCTCCCGTCCCCTTCTCTGTTCATCAGTAGCTGCTCAGCTCGGTTTCCAGGGGGGGAGGCCAAGGTCGCGGCTCTGTCTGGGGCGCCGCCGGTAGGTCTCAAGCTCAGGGCTTGGAGCATGTTTGTTTTGGGTGGGGGCTTCTGATGTCGGAGGGGGTTTGTTTGCCGCTCGAGCTCAGATTCGTGTTTTTGTGCAGTGTTTTCAGGTGCATCGGAAGGTGTTCTGACAATCTCCACTCTTTCTTCGCCGGACGCCGGTCTGCTGCATTCCGGCAGCGGGATGGGAGGTGAGTTTGTCTGAAAATCACTCATCTCAACTGGCATGTAGTACTACAGTAAATAGTTACTGCACTATTTAAGCTCGATTTCTTCAGCTTAAAGGTTCGATTTTGCCATGCTGTTTGGGCGCAAATGTGTTGTTCTGGGCAGCAAGGATTAGGGATCTGGTACTTCTCGATGTGCGGCCTCATACCACTGAACTTGATTGGTCAGGCCTGTACGATACCTGTTTGCAATTTGCTTCTTGTAAATACTACTGCGGATGATTGGGGGATAGATAGATTCAGTTTCCAATGCTACTATGCTAGCGATAAACGTTACTTCCTTCAGAGCCCAGCCCGCACTGCATAAAAGGCATTCATGGGAGCAACTAGACATGCATTCTCAAGGTTAAGTGTCTCTTTATGATCCTGCCTAGAGTCTTGCCGATAAGAGCTCATGGTCCTGGCTAGAGTCTAGCGAAAAGGACTAATTTGAACAGATATTGAGTTGATGTGCTTGTTTGTTTATGGGAAAGTTGGAAGGGCATTTATATCTGGTCCTTCAGTTCTGTAGCAATGCCTGTTTGTTATACCGTTTATTTTTATACTGTGGTGGTGACATTTGTTTCTTCCTGGTGAATTACTCACATTTCCGTTCTCTTTTATTTGCAGGCAGTGTGGCATTGTAGTAAAATTCTGCCACCGTTGCATGGTTGGTGTTCAGAGTATATTTGTCTTGAGTAAAGATGAAAGAGGAGATCATGTTCGACAACCAATCCAAGCCATGCAGATCGAGGGTTGACTCCAAGAGTAACCAAAATCCTCTCAAGCCCAAGTTCGGGTCATCATGGGGATCCCAAATTGTCAAGGGGTTCACAGCCGACAAGAAAACCAAGAAGACATCAGCTATTGCAAGCAAGAAGCCGCCTCTTGCAAGCGTGGAGAATGTTAACCAGAGCAACCAACAGATTACATACCAATCTAGGGTTAAGAGATCTCTGATAGGAGATTTTCCTTGCTCGCCTGCTGGTGCTCAAGTTCATCCCCATGCCTTTGATTGCCACGGTATTAGGTCCCCGGCATCTCATGATCTTTTTCTTGAGTTGGACCATCTCAGGGAACAACTGCGTGAGTCCAAGGAAAGAGAATCAGCTTTGCAATCAGAGTTGCAGCAATGCAGAGAAAATCCAAGGGTTTCGGCACTTGAGAAGGAGCTTGATTCTAGGAAGAATGAGATTGACAAGCTTGCACGGCTTAAAACTTCACTAGAAACTGAGAAAACAAGCCTTTCTGAACAGCTATCAGTTCTATCTTCTATGGTGGAGCAGCATGAAGAAACTGTAAGATTGGATGGGCATGGCAATCGCGCTTCTAGTGCGGATGGGGACAATGTATATTCTTCAGGAAACTTGGAGTTTGAAGTTGTTGAGCTGCGTCGTTTAAACAAGGAGCTTCAGTTTCAGAAACGAAGTCTTGCAATCAAGCTCTCTTCAGCAGAGTCCAAATTGGCTGTCCTTGAAAAGAATGCAGAGGTACCATCACATCAATTTGACCATTTCTAGCACACTACTAGTTCTACTTCAACTAATCTTTTCTGCATCCTTATTTTCAACAGAGCGAGATAGTCGCCAAGGTTCAAGCAGAGGCCTCATTGTTGCGGCACACCAATGCAAACTTGAGCAAGCAAGTTGAGGGCCTGCAAATGAGTCGGCTGACTGAGGTTGAGGAGCTTGCTTATCTTCGCTGGATCAATTCATGTTTACGTCATGAGCTCTGTAGCTCGGATCAAACAGCCAGAGCAATCACTGATCTTGATTATAATGATGGTATGGCTTGTAATGATGATCATTGTGATGGCAACACCAGAAATGGTGAGAACAGTTCTGATGATAAAAGGCTCAGCATTGCCGAACGTATCAAGCAATGGTCTCAGAACGATACAAACTGTCAAACATCTAAAAAGGAATCTCTTCTTGATAGAGCATGGATTGAAGCCACAGAACCGCGAAGCCCCACACGTAGGCACTCACTTGGTGGATCAAAGGGATGTGCACAGGACTTGAACATTGTGAAGAGGAGGCAATCTGATACCTTTATCTGCCTTCCAGAGGCAACAGAGGAAGCAGTATCCTGTAATAAGGATCAGGCAAGCAGGGAGAAGCGTGAGCTCCTTGTGGACAAGTATGATTTTGGTCAATCTGATAGTTCAAGATTTGCTCTTGGCAAGCCAGAAATATGCAAGTCTCAATGCTTGGATGTCGAAAAGCGCACCCTGCGCATTCCAAACCCTCCACCAAGACCTTCAGTGTCTCTGCCATATTCTGGTCCATCAAATGGATCGACTGTAAATCCACCCCGCCCACCTCCTCCGCCTCCCCCGCCTAAGTTTTCCACAAGAAGTACTGGAGTCATGAAGAGGGCACCACAAGTTGCAGAGCTATACCATTCACTTATGAGAAGGGATTCAAAGAAAGATACTTCTGGGGGTGGAATCACTGAAACTGCTAACTCCGCAAATGTGCGGAGTAGTATGATTGGTGAAATCGAGAACCGTTCTTCGCATTTGCAGGCTGTAAGTAGAGTAGCCAGATTGAACCCATACCCATGATACAATGTAGATAACAGTAAGCAGCTGGTTCCTGCACTGACTCTGTGCTTTGACTTGTCATTCCATTTTCAGATCAAGGCGGATGTTGAGACTCAAGGTGAATTTGTGAAATCATTGATCAAGGAGGTGACTGATGCAGCTTACAAAGATATAGAAGACGTTGTTGCATTTGTGAAGTGGCTTGACGATGAACTCGGTTTCCTGGTATGCATATTCTAATATTACCATTCTGCAAGCATTCTTTTCAGCTGCAGCAGTCACTGAAGCTACTCTTTTTTCATTTAATTGTGTTACTTGAAGGTGGATGAGAGAGCAGTGCTGAAGCATTTTGATTGGCCCGAGAGGAAGGCGGACACTTTACGAGAGGCGGCTTTTGGCTACCAAGACCTCAAAAAATTGGAATCGGAAGTTTCTAACTATAAAGACGATCCACGCCTTCCCTGTGACATTGCACTTAAGAAAATGATAACAGTGTCTGAAAAGTATGGCCAAGTTAACTAGTATAAGAAAAAATTGATCTGTAGAATCACATTGTGTACTGAACTTTGGTTGGCATTCCTAATCCAGGACGGAGCGAGGTGTGTACAACGTTCTGAGGACGAGGGATGCAATGATGAGGCAGTGCAAGGAGTTCAACATTCCAGTTGACTGGATGCTTGACAACAATCTCATTAGCAAGGTAAATGCTGTATAGTTTTCTGTACTAGACCACCCCTCTGCAGGTTTTTGAGCTCTTGGTGCCACATTACTATCATACCAGTACCGGCAAATGTAGTTTGGACATATCATCGGAGTAATCCATTTCCCTTGGCCACTGCAGATCAAATTTGCTTCTGTGAAATTAGCAAATATGTACATGAAAAGAGTTGCTATGGAGCTTCAGTACATGGGACCTCTGAACAAGGATCTAGCTCTGGAGTACATGCTCCTTCAGGCTGTGAGATTTGCCTTCAGAATTCATCAGGTTAGTACCTATCATTACTTACTATCGCATCTGCCTTCTTGATTTTTTTTGTTTATGTTTAATCTCCATGCTATCTGTGTTGCTTGAGAACCTCTGGCTATTTGGGGCTATTCCCAGGGGAAACCTTATGGCGCGTGCTCTAAATTACCGTTCATTTTGTGTTTCAGTTTGCTGGAGGATTCGACACGGAGACCATGGATGCATTTGAGGAGCTGAGGAATCTTGTTCATGTCAGGAACAGTACCCAGTAGGAAGGCAACTCGATGTAGCATGATCTGAACTTTTTTGTTCGCGAGAAACTCTGGCTTACCTTCTCGGTAAGCATGACGGACAGTTTGAAGGGTTGGTGTGTATGTATGTTGTGTATTTGTGTGTGCTAGCATGAAGAAACCAGCTTCGGCGGGTGTAGGGATTTGGTAGCAACATTGCTGAAACATGCGATTTATGCATGCTATGTTTTCAGTTTGCAGAGGCAGGGTGTTTCAAGCTCCTTTTCGAGAGAAAAATGTTTTCAGTTTGCAGTTCCGGTACTCAACGGGAACTCTCGCCAGTCTGCTAGGAATGGGCGAGCTCCTAAGATGTCATCTCAGCCGAAAATTTGAAACCATCTCTTTAATGTGTAGAATTTTCCATTTTTTTAATTTGTTTGATATTTTTTAAAATTTACTGTTCACTCAGGTGCAGATGTGCAGATACATCTGAGCTCCGAAATGTTGCTCTTTAAAAAACGCTTAAGTAGCTTTATATTTTACTAAGAAAACAGAAGCTTGTTACACCTACCTTTGCACCAACTAAAAATATGTACAATCAAATTATTACAGACATTAAACACCGCAAAATGTTGTCATCATGGGTCTAAATAGCCAGACCTAAGTTTTCACGATAAGTACAAAATAATGAAGATATGAGAAACGTTAATCACACCAACACATGCACATCACACTTGCCGCCACCACTGTCAAGACATGCATAAGTGCTAGACAACAGACCACTAGATCTATTTCGACAATGTGGGCCAAAACATCACACTGTAGTCGGTAGGCTCCCGAAGATAGAGCCACAAGAATTTTTTTCTGCGTGACATTGTCTGTACCCTTAAGCTTCGCCACTAATGATACATAAACTAGCATTGAAAACAACTAATTAGCTGCATGGAGAACATGCTTTCTCACACGGTTTGGTCGCACTATTCTTGTTCAGACAGTTCTAATAGATATACCTATTTCCCCCTTCAATGTCGCTTGATCCATCGGCTTGGGTTTTCAAAGCCATTGGCAAAATTCAAAGAGCCTTCTTATGGAAAGGGGTCGAAGCCATTGCTGGGGGTCATTGCTTGATCAATTGGAAGGCAATTGGCCGGCCTAAAATCGACGACGGTCTCGGCATTCTCAATCTCACAATCACGAGGAGGGCTCTCAGACTGCCACCGCCATATAGACTGCATGCAGCTACTAATCGGCCATGGCAATCGTCTGGCAATTTTCTAGAGATTGAAGAAAGGGACATATTCAACACACCTATTTTTGGTGCGACAGGTGGCCGGAGGGTGCCTCCCTCTGCTCCATCACGCCAGAGATCATTGGCATGCTTCCTCCGACTAATCTTGCGCGGCAAACGGTGGCCAAATCTTGTATCGACTCTACTTGGCTCAAATACATCAAGTCATGAACGTCTGCACCTGCAATTTCCATTTTTCTCAACAACAACAGGAAGACAACTGGTCATGGTCATGGATATATTAATGATTACACTGTTATTACATATTTTTTGTGATTAAGAGACTATTAGATATATTAAAAGGTGAATATGTAGGGAGTAAACAATGGACTCAATTTCATGTAGCATTCCCACATCACAAAGCAATATTGTGCACCACGTAGAAACACGTCAATCTACTTGGTTTTTTTCGAAAAGGGGGAGATCCCCGGCCTCTACATCAGAACGATGCATACGACCACATTTATTAAAAAGCAAATAAATTCAACAGAGGTCTTGCAGTCTCAAACAAAAGAACCAAAATGCTCACAAAGAGCAGAAGAGTAAAAGTAAAGCCACAACCGGCTGGCAAAAGAAAGATAGGAAAACTAATTGCCTATCCTATTACATAACCGCCATCTAAACCGATTGAAAATAGCCTGTCGGTGTCAAAACCGGTGGATCTCGGGTAGGGGGTCCCGAACTGTGCGTCTAGACCGGATGGTAACAGGAGGTAGGGGACACGATGTTTTACCCAGGTTCGGGCTCTCTTGATGGAGGTAAAACCCTACGTCCTGCTTGATTAATATTGATGATATGGATAGTACAAGAGTAGGTCTACCACAAAATCAGAGAGGCTAAACCCTAAAAGTTAGCCTATGGTATAATTGTATATTATGGTTGTCGTCCTACGACTAAAACCCTTCGGTTTATATAGACACCGGAGAGGGTTAGGGTTACACAAGGTCGGTTACAAAGGAGGAGATATCCATATCCGTACTGCCTAGCTTGCCTTCCACGCCAAGTAGAGTCCCATCCGGACACGAGACGAAGTCTTCAACCTTGTATCTTCATAGTCTAACAGTCCGGCCAAAGGATATAGTCCGGCTGTCCGGAGACCCCCTAATCCAGGACTCCCTCAGTAGCCCCTGAACCAGGCTTCAATGACGATGAGTCCGGCGCGCAGTATTGTCTTCGGCATTGCAAGGTGGGTTCCTTCTCCGAATACATCACAGAAGAATTTGAATACGAGGATAGTGTCCGACCCTGCAAAATAAGTTCCACATTCCACCGCAGAGAGAATGATATTTTCGCAGATCTAATTTGCTGACTTGTTTTGGCAGCATGATGTTATGTCATGACCCGGTGATTATTCGAACCATTTCTTTTAACCAGCTCCACACATAACGCGAGGCGGTTTCTTGACACGTCTTGCTGAAGCGGAGATCGTGTTCCCCCAATTACGGGATTCTCATTAATGCGATCGTGGGTAACCCAACCGTGTCTAGGACTCCTAGATTATAGGCAAGTCCTAAATGGCTACGGAGAGGACGCTTGATATTCACCCTCTTTATAAAGGGACGAGGTTTTCGCTTTTTCTCTCTCGTGCTCAATCGAACCCTTCTCCCGCCTCGAGTTCTAACACCCAAAGCCCAGGTTAGGTGCTCCGGATCTTCAATCATGTCTGGATCCAGCCTTCAAGGCCGATGGATGCCCTCCTCCGTTACGGAAGAGGACATTAAGAAGTTGAGGGAGGCCAGATACCTGACTGCCGAGGTTTCGCATCGGCTGCCTGCTCGAGGGCAGATCGTCCCTACTCCCGAACCCAACGAGAACGTTGTGTTCGTCTCCCACTTCCTCCGAGGTCTAGGCCTCACTCTAGATCCTTTCGTCAGGGGTTTGATGTTCTATTACGGGCTAGTTTTCCACGATCTAGCTCCGGACTCCTTTCTCCACATCTCGACATTTATTGTCGTGTGTGAGGCCTTCCTCCGCCTTACCCCTCACTTCGGCTTGTGGCTCAAGAGCTTTGAAGTAAAGCCGAAGATAATCAAGGGGCAACATGCAGCGTGCGGAGGTGCATCAATAGGCAAGATGGCAGGAGCTCCATGGTCGAAAGGTTCCTTTTCAGAGGTGTCATAATTATGGCAACGGGAGTGGTTTTACGTCACGGCTCCCAGAAGTGCCAAGTGGGCGGATGCTCCCGCTTTCCGCTCGGGCCCCCCACCACAACTGATGTCATGGATTAGCAGAGGTCTGAGCTGGGGTCCAGCCAAGGACGTGCCTATACTGCGAAGCCGCATCCGAGATCTCTTCAAGGGAGATTTTAATTTGGCTGTGGTAATATAAGTTATGCTGGTTCGTCAAGTCCAGCCTTGCAGACGCCGGCCCCTTCGCTTGTGGGAGTTCAACCTAGAGGGACCGCGTGCCATTCAAAGTTTCCTCGGCCTGACGCACGAGGAGATGTACAAGTCATTCTTCGGACCTCAAGTAGAGTGTCCGGATATTACCGAGGACGTGGGCCTGAGCAGTAACCGCGCCGCCGAACAAGTAAGAAATCCTCTGGCCGAACACACTGTCTTTTATTCGTCACGAAGTTATTTCTGAGAGTTCGCTTTTTGACCAGGACTGGCTAACAAAGGCGAAG